AGCTGAATGAGATGCAGATTCACTCTCTGCCAGCAGGTGGCGCTTAAAGCGTTTCCTTGGTTTCCGCTGTAAACAAAGCAGCGCTGCACTTATGAACTTTAATATGCATTATACAGAGGCAAGAGGAAAAGAAAAAATACCATCTAAACTTTTCGAAAGACAGTAAGTTCCCCTCAAACATGCATTCATATAAACTCCTACCCCTAATAGAATCGCGATTTGTTTAGCATCTCAACCGATTTGAATTGTCACATATTTAAATCGATTTTCAACCGGTTCGTGGTTAATCGTTACATCCCTACTAATAATTAATACTTTTATTAAGTAAGGATGCATTAAATTGATTAATTAATTGATTACAGTAAAGTTTTTTTTTTCATTACAAAACATTTCTATTTCAAATAAATGTTGTTCTTTTGAACTTTCTATTCAGCAACGATTCCTAAAAAAATGTATTATGGTTTCCACAAAAATATTAAGCAGCACAATTGCTTTCAACATTGACAATAATAAGAAATTAATCTTGAGCACCAATTCAGTATATTAGAGGATTAAGGATCATGTGACTCTGAAGACTGGAGTAATGATGCTGAAAATTCAGCTTGGCAATCACAGAAATAAATTACATTTTAAAATATATTCAATAGAAAACAGGTATTTTAATATTTCACAATATTACTGTCTTTCATTTTTACTGTATTTTTATCAAATAAATGCAGCGTATTTATTCATTTTAAATGTAGTTACTACAGAAATTACCAGAAATGTTCTACTATATTGAGATTATACTGATACTTCCAGGTTTTCTATGACCATGGGAAGTGGGAACCCTGTTTATATAATAATATACGCACCATACTTTTGGAATGACATCACATATCTTAACGGAGAGCTTGCAGCAAACCATTTTTCCACATTTGGGCTAAGGAAACCAACTATGTCCTTACTTGACATCCAAACAGGATCAATCATTCATATCAACAGCACAAATGTTCCACAACATTAGTTTAAAGAGGTTGCAAAGCATTACACCATTCTAGAATCTCACTTTAGCGGGTAAACTGACACCAACATGTGTGATAATCGTCAGCTTGGCATGATTAGTCACATTATCGACTCCAGCCTTTAAAATGGTAATTACATGTGAACATGTTAATTATTCATGACACATTAAAGCAATTTAAAACAGCACTGCAACAAATGTCCCAGTAATGTAACAAAACCTCAACATCCGATCTAACACACTACAGAAACAGGGTGTGTAAATCATATTAAATGCTCAAAAATGATCAGTGCAATTCTGACCCAGATTTTCCAGCATTGCATGTGCAGGGATGTGGGATTGTTAGCAGGAAATATATGTAGGCTAGCAGCTGTTGCTGCACATTCCCTGCAGCACCCCACTTCCTTATGATCTAATCCCAAGTGAAAGCGTGTATGCGAGTCTACGTTGCAAAGTGAGTCGGGGGCAGGTGTGTGCGGCATATTCACAGTATGGCGCTGCCCAGGGTTCCCCCACCCCCTGTTCTGAGCCCCTGATGGTGAATGGCATGTGTGTATGTGTGCAAGGAGGGGCTACTATGAAGCTGGAGAATAAGGGTGTGTCCTCAGACATCCTACTATAAAAAGAAACAGTACGGTGCATGAGCTACATCTGTCCTGTCCTCACAACACAGCCCAGAGAAAAATTATTGGAGCATTTGTTCCTCGCCGTGACTCATAGAGGCCTTCCTCAAGAATGACCCACTTTTGAACCGTGCCATATTCCATGAGATCCAGATGGCACTCTTCTGGGTAGTATGAAGTTCATGAAAACTTCTGATCTGTCTTGTGGAAACAACTTCCATTCAATAAAACAGGACAGGCCATTTAGTGCAATTTTGAACTATTAGAGCAAAAAGAATCAGTGCAATTAATAACGGAATATATATATATTTAAAATGTTAATTGTGGTAATGGGGAAAATAAATGGAATGAAAAGACAGAAAGAATCCGTGCAATATATGTAATATACATAATTTAAAATATTATTTTAAATTGCATAAAATATTTTAAATGATATAATGCATTCTACAAATTAAAATTAAAATATTTTAAAAATTATTTTAGAATACATTATATTATATTATTTACATTTTTTATGCTGAAACGTTCATTGCCGTAAAATGAAAGGAAGGAAATATAACATATATTTAATATTAACATTATACCGTATTAACCTATATTATTTCTGAATTTTCATGCTAGAATGTTTAAATACTTCTAGTTTGCAAAGCATGCATGCAGTCACGTGAAGTGTAAACATGACTACAAGAGGTATTTTATGACCATGTACACACATGCACATTTGTGCAATGCAGTGCATCAGTGGTGTCTTCTGATATGTAGATTGCATGAACAAGGCTTAATTTTAAGGCTGATGATGATGGTGATGAAGTAGACTCATCCCATTTGGACCATATCGAGGGTGTCACACAAAGGGGCGACCAAGCCCTTACTCTAAACAACACATTCAACACGCCTCAAGGCATCATGAAATGCCAACGTTGGATTTTCAAAATGTATCAGGATATTACAACGGCTTCATAACGGAAATATCAGTTGTCGGGCGTGCGCTCGCGTTTAATCGTGTTTATTGCTGGTGGGCTCGAGCTGTTTGTGGATATACGACATCCACATTGATCGACTAGATTATTAAATATCGTTCAATCGATAGTTAAACAATTACCAGCTCACATTAGGAATGATACTGTATAAGGGAAACACGAGACACAAGACTGGGAGATTCTTTCCATACCACAAAATTACACGATTCCGAGCCAAGCAATATATCTCTGTGCTAGTCAGCGAGGAGTTTCTTAAAATAACTTACAAATGAATGCAAAATAGCGAGACATAGCACACTTACTTCCTTTGTTATATCCTTAAAAAGCGATTTTCCTTCACTTTCAGCACTGGTGAACAATAAACCCTGTTAGACGGGCAGGCAGACAGACAGGCAGATGCTTCGGTAGACCTTGCAGCAGCATCCCCAGACAGTGAGAGCCAGGCGTTGACCAATCACAGGCGACATCCACAGCGATGGATTCAGCAGCGGCCAATGGCATTGCAGTATGGGCGTGTCCTGTCGTCAGTGGTACGTACCATTTACACAGATTTACAGGGGATGGAACTGGATCATTAATGTGGCAACCGTGCAAACCAGACGAGATGGTCCTCACTGCAGAACACAAGATCCAGGGGGCGAGGTTGGATCCAGATCCAACTCCTCCCACCTTACATATACCTAAACCTACCCGTCTCCACCCCCTGATCCCTAAACCCACCCATCTCCACCCCTCAACT